CACAGGTGTCCCAGGTGTCACAGCCTGTTATAGGTGTCACTGGTGTTACAACCTGTTCCCGGTGTCACAACCTGACCCAGTTGTCACAGCCCATCAGCTGCCACAGGTGTCCCAGGTGTTACAGCCAGTTACAGGAGTCACTGGTGTTACAACCTTTCACAGGAGTCACAACCCGTCACAGGAGTCACTGGTGTCACAACCTGTTCCCAGTGTAACAGCCGTCACAACCCGTCACAGGTGTCACTGATGTTACAACCCATCACAGGAGTCACAGGTGTCACAGCCCGTCACAGGTGCTCCAGGTGTTACAACATGTTCCAGGTGTCACAGCCCATCACAGGAGTCACTGGTGTCACAACCTGTTCCCAGTGTAACAGCCGTCACAACCCATCACAGGTGTCACTGATGTTACAACCCATCACAGGTGTCACAGGTGTCACAGCCCGTCACAGGTATCACTGGCGTTACAACCTGTTCCCAGTGTCACAGCCGTCAAAACCCGTCACAACTCTTCACAGGTGTCATAGCCCATCACTGGTGTCACAACCCGTCCCAGGTATCAGAGCTGTCACAGGTGTTTGGGATAGCACACTAACTTGATGAATTCTCTGGTACTGTCCAGGAAGCGGGAGAGGGCGGACTAGGACAGGAGATCGGAATGGCCCAGGAAGTGGAGAATATTGCTGCAGTGTGATGCCACCAGGGGAAGGGGAACACTCCCCCCACGCACCCCTGCTATGTCCACACCTCCATGGGGACCATGCGCTCCTTGCTTTTGAGGGGAGGCAGCAGGTACTCCTCACACAGGAAGTGAAGGGGGAAGTGGACCAGGTAACCCCTGACCCCAGCTAGCTCCTCTCTTGCCCTGTCGGGGTCCGTCTCCGCCATCCGCTCCACCGAGACGTACTCCCTCAGCATCCGCAGGTTGTGGATCGAGTTAGAGGGGAGAGACCGGAAGACCTGAAAAAAGAACAGAGAAAGGAAATTAAGACACAGACATCCTCTCAGTGTTAATGGACTGTAGTGCCCAGTGTGTCTGTATTAACCCCTCTCTCTCAGTGCAGTGTTAATGGACTGTAGTGTCCAGTGTTACTCCCTGTTCTCCTCTCCCACTCACCATGTCGTAAATGTCAGCGTTCGATTCGGCGATCCTGTTCCACACCCCCTGGAAAAACTCGTCACTGATTGGATCCTGGATGTCGATGCAGGGGTCTGAGTCCGCTGCCAGAAGAACCCTGGACATTAAAACACGACAGCAGGGAAGAGTTACTTCTCCTGTTGTGTTACTGCTCTCTTCACAAGTATTGGTTGTGGCAGAACCACAGTTATCATCAGCACCAATGCTATAAATGACTTGAAAGCACCTTGTAGTCATTAAACATATAAATAATAGCAGGATAAGCACTATTATAAGCATCAATGACCCTGCCCTTTAGCCCAAGCTGGTCAGACCTCGGGAGCTCAGCATGGCCAGGCTTGGTCACTACTGGGGTGGGAGACCACTAAGGCTGCCAGCGGTGTTGGAGGACCAGGAGGGGGCGCCCTGGACCAGAATTCAAGGGGATGGCAGGGGACAGTGTGCTGTAGTTGAACCATGTTCACTCCATACTACTCAGTCAGTAAAGATCCCAGGACACTGTTTGTAAGAACAGGGCTGTTGGCCCTGATGTCTTGGTAATTCCAACCTGAGCTCCCTAATACCTTCCTAAAGTTCCCCCTTAACTCAGCTGGTGCAGCAGTGTCTCCCTCCTCACCCCGATCTGTGTTATTATCATCATCATCCTCATCATCATCAATTTCAATGGTAAAGAAGCAGACTAAAGAGGAGGAAGAGGAAAGCTGACGAGGACTCCGCACCGGAAGCACTCCTG